GTTACATCTACGTTACATCCTATATCTAATATATATTTGAGTTCGTATGTATCTATGTATGTATCTTCCCTATAGGCGGCCAAACCGCCCAAGCGATCTGGATGCAATTTTCACAGGGCCATCTGTTATACCCGGGGAGTGTTCCTAGACAAAAAAAAATTCAAAAAGGTTAAAAAGTTAAAAATTTTATAAAAATTCTATTCATCAATAGATGGCGGTGCGTACACGCCGTGCAACACAGATATGTCAGATGCGTATAACATAATTGGAGCAATGGCGTAATTGCTAGGACATTCGTCTACCACACCGAGATTACTCGTTCGAGTCCCAGCTGGGCAACATTTTCGCCCCTTTTTCCCTTTACCTACCTCTTTTTTAATTTATGAATTTATTGAATTAATTATTTTTATTTTTTATTTCTTATATTTTTATTTTTATTATTTTTTACTGTTTGGGATGGGATAGGATGGGATGGGATGGCATGGCATGGCATGGCATGGCATGGCATGGCATGGCATGGCATGGCATGGGATGGGGTGCGGTGCAATGACATGGCATGGCATGGCATGGGATGCGATGGGATGGGATGCGGTGCGATGGGATGGGATGGGATGGGATGGGATGGGATGGGATGGGATGGAATGGCATGGATGGATGGATGCATGGATCGATGGATGGATGCATGGATGGATGCATGGATAGATAAATAGTTCGATTTTTTTGGGTATTTTCCTTTCAACCAAGCGGTCACCAACTGAGTAACGCCACTGATTTCCCCGGGCAACGCCGGGTATCCCGCTAGTAATATATATATATATTATATTGATACTGCGACCTAAAAGTCAATACGAAATGCGGGATGCGCGGGGCACAGGTTTAATTGTTTAATTACAAAAGAAGTAGACATATTATATAATATATACTCGCCTCTCTCCGTTCTTCTACTTCCTCACTATATATATATATATATCGCGCACAAGAAAGAGAGAAAAAGAAAGGGAGAGAGTCACAGATAGGGAGGGAGTGAGCGAGAAGGCGAGAGAAGTAACTAGAGACATAAGCCTCGTCTACACGACAACACCCGATAGCGATTATTACCGATTTATTATGCATGCGTGCGTGCGTGTGTATGTAAACGTGCGTGCGTGTGTGCGTGTGCACGTATACGTGCGTGCGTGTGCACGTACACGTGCGTGCATGCGTGAGTGCGTACATGTGCGTGCATGTGTGCGTGCATGCGCGTGTGCGTGCACGTACACGTGCGTGCATGTGCACGTACACGTGCGTGCGTGCGCGCGTGTGCAGGTACACGTCCGTGCGTGCGTGCGTGTGCACGTACACGTGCGTGCGTCCGTGTGTGTGAACGTACACGTGCGTGCGTACGTGCGTGCGTGCATGCATGTGCACGTACACGTGCGTGCGTGTGCATGAGTGTGTGCGTGCGTGTGCAAGTACACGTGCGTGCGTGCGCGCGTGTGCAGGTGCACGTTAGTGCGTGCGCGCGTGTGCATGTGCACGTAGGCGTGCGTGCGTGTGCATGTGCACGTAGGCGTGCGTGCGTGTGCATGTGCACGTAGGCGTGCGTGCGTGTGCATGTGCACGTAGGCGTGCGTGCGTGCGTGCATGCGTGTGCACGTACACCTGCGTGCGTGCATGAGTATGTGCGTGCGTGTGCAAGTACGCGTGCGTGCGTGCGTGTGTACGTACATCGTACTAGTGCTGCCGCCTATCGTGGAGGTTAAAGGAACAGTAGCCTCTAGGTTCTAGGGTTATTTTCAGCTAATTTAGGTTCTAGTTGCGCTACATAAAAAGTTTCATGGTTCAATCACCATTAGAAATATTTTTTTTTAATGTTTTAAAACTAACGACTACAGTTTGATTACAACGACGGTGGCGCCACTCAAAGCGCACGATCTGAGAAGTTGCGCAAAACCACTTTCCAGCCAAGGGCTACAGACCAAGGGTATTTCTTATTTATTCATTTAAAAGCAAAA